CATTTTGTGTGCCGAATGGAGAGTTTTCACACAGCACCTGCGGGTAACTTTCACATTTATTACAATTACATATTTAATGACGTAAAATGTGTGTGTGTGATAAAAAGAATGGATTCTGCGTTTCGCCTATTTATGAGTCTGTCTTTTTGCTTATTTTGTGATAGGTTTTCAAGGGATTATGATTTACTTTGAAGATTATCACGTAATGGTGGTAAAACTACGTACAAAAAATTAATAGAAATTGGAAAGTGTGCTAATGAAATGACTTTAAGAGTTTGATGTTCAGACACGTCAAATTCTAATTAAGATTCTTATAATAGTATTAAGGAAAATAGAAGACTCTTCCTATTTTTCTATATTTTATTTGTTCATTAAATTGAATTAACCCTAAGATAGCTCTTTGTTTAGAACTAATTGTTAGCTTTAGATCGTGTTATTTATTTATATTCAGAACATTTTTTGGTTTATTTATTAAAATATTCGGCAGAAATTTGATCTCTTTTTGAATATTATATATTAAAATCACTGCATAAATGAAAGGCCTATACTATAAAAACTATTAAAAAAAAAGAATGAGAGATTTTTCCCTTCAGTTTAACTTTAAAATCAACATTCTATATTAAACTCTAAATATTACTAAAGATTTCAAAACACTTTAACCCACAAATGAAGCAATAAAAGATATAATTAACAAGTCACAACTTTATCAGAGACTTTTAATTTTAATGAGTAAACGGTTTACTGTCGCTCAAAAGCTCTGTCTACAAATTACAAATGCCAACACTTAGAGGTCACGACCTGTTTAATGGGTGTCACCTCGTCTGTGTGTTTTTTTTTCTTTTGTGTTGTTTTTTTAGCGAGCCACGTGCTCCTGTCGGCAGGATACCTGGGGGGAACGTATATTTTTTTTTAAGAGCATCCATTGCTTGTGTAATGCGCAATTGAATGCCATTCCTGTTGACAAAAGGCAATCAGTGGTCAGACATAATTTTGTTATTAATTTTAAGAAAGATTTTCCTCTTTTTGGGATCCTCTATACCATAACCATAATGGCAGGCACTTAACCGTGGTCCTTTTGATGGACACTCCTGGGAAGGACAACTGGAAAAGGAGAGGCGAGCAAAAGGACTCGACTCGAACGGAATACTTAATTCTTTTTGGTCAGCGATTGTGGCGAGCAAAAATTAGCAAAGCCGACTAAAAACACTTACCTTACCCCCCTGGGGGGCATTATATTTAATGAATTTTTAATTGATGCTCCTTTGAGTCCTGCCGTCGGCAGCGAATACTCAAGTGGCCATCAAGTTAAACATCGAGTGAAGCGCAAACAAATAATTCAATTCAAATTTAATTTGGAAAAGTCATGCAATTGAAGAGTTTTGTCAACTCTAAGATAAGATAAGTAGCAAAATAATTGTTTTAAGCCAAGTAAAGTTTTCTTAGAAGAGTTGGTCAAAGGTTATGCCAGCTTTCTATGACATTTAATTAAATCCCCAATTGAATTTGTACATTAACGAATCTTAATTACATTTCTTGCTCAACCAAGTGATTTATTAAAATCAAGACTAGACAGGATTGAAAATGTGTTGTGTGTCCCAAAAGGCCAATCAAACCAGAAGCCATAAACACATGCCGTCTAAGTTCAGGCTTAAGTCCAAAGTCCGATGGCATTGTAAACAATGAGACTCCCGAAAAATTACATGCTCAATTCTTAAGCTTTGTGTGGGTCCCTTTACTTAACCCATGTGTCCAAATAAAAGAGGGTCAGGATACACAAAAGAAAAGCCGAAGCTGGGTATACCCTTTACTGGCAAATACTTGAAAGAGAATTTGGACATATTTAGCATATTTTTTTTAATAAAGAAAAACATTTCAGAAATCCCTAACCTCTTATTTAGCAACCTCTGACCTTTAACTATAAATACATTTATAGAAAACAGCTTTTATATTAATTTTGTAAACACTCTCTGAGTTCTATTCATTATTAGGTTATTTCGCACCTAAAACCTTCATAACCATAATAATATTTTCCTAGAAGAATGTCTTGTTTTGAGTTCTTTTTTTTTTTTCATATCCTACCTTGTGGAAAATTTGTTAATACCCTCAGAAAGAGGCCCAACATCAACAAAAGAAAGAAAAAAGCGGCCCACAGTTGCGCTTTTATTGGACATGTTGTCTTTTCATTTATATTTTTTTCTTTCTTTTTTTGGTGGGCGATGGTTTCATATAAGCCTTGCCATAATGTGGCTCTTGTTGCTCGGCTTATGTGGCGTATGCGTAACGTAGAATGCTTTTTTTCTGATTTTTCCGAACATTTCCATATTACAATGTGCTGTGACTTCGATACACGTTGCCAGCCAATATGAATTTTCACTTTGATGTGCTGCGCCCCACTGACGCTCTAATAGGATACACTTTTAATAATATTCGCTGCTTGAACATCAACATATTCTTCTTCATTCAGTAAAATGTTGTTATTCAACATGAAATTTCACGAGAATTCCCGCCACGTGTAGGCAGACTTTGTGCACTTGTTGGAAGTGAAGTCAAATGTCTGTAAATTTCACAAATTAATGGTTAGGACCTCAGCGACATGAATCCCTGTTTGCTTTGTTCTCAAGTGAGTTTCAAGTGTGTTTCATGGGAAATCTCAGGCAGCAGCACTTTTCACGCCGGCTGGAGTTGAAAAAAAAATATACAGACAGAGAAAAGTCCAACATAACTGCATTGTTTTTAAAATGGATAAAAATGCATTTAATAAAAAGAAAAGAAGGGAAAAACAAGGGTTTTAAAACAGAATAAATAATGATTGATTATATATTCCTTCAATTTTAATAACATTAATTAAAGACCCATTTTCCTCTCTGTTTTCTTACACATACCCAAATATAGTACATCAGCTTAATGGACCGAAAATCTTTGGCTCTCAATTAGTTGACCATCAAATTTCAAGGCTCAGAAGAGAAAAGAAAAAAGAGTGAGAGAAAGGGTCACACCAGAATAAAGAGAGACTTTTCTTTGACGTTAATTAGAAAATCTCAGCGTCTCGCTTGGCCAGACTAATTGCACTTGCTGTAAGCATAAATGGATCCGACAGTTTTCCCGATTTTTCCCCCGCCTTACAGACCATTGCCATTGAAAAATTGTATACAATTTTTCAGAATTGCTTTCAGTAAAAATTTTTGCATACAAAAAACCATTTTCTGGCTTGACCTTGACTCCGCTGAACCCTGATGAAGAGCCAACTAAATGAGTTGGCTGCGGTGGCACACACACAGACTTTTCCAGTGGAAAATTTAAGCAATGAAAAACCCCTTGACTAGTTTGCATACGGAAAATCTTCTTAGATGCTAAGCTGGCGAATTATCTGCATTATCATGAATTGAATTTAAGGCTTTTGGGGTTCTCCTCAGTTAAAGAGGCTTAGAGAGTAGGATCGGTCTTCAAAGTAAATAGGTTCCTGTGAATCGCATTTTCATCGAATGCCTGCGCCATAATACCTTTGAAAATATGCTTGCACATATGTTGGGCATAACAACAGGCACTTTACGAGTTGTCTTTTATGGTGGGTGGCCCAAAGGAACTTTAATAGTTTCTGGCGGAAAAATAAACTAAAGGCATAAAGTGTCTGTGGTAAATTGCTAAACGGTGGAGGTTTTGTCCAACTTTTCCCGTGTAATATTAAACTTAACCTTTGCATGTATTTCATGGTTAGAAAAAGTTATAATTTAATTCAAGAATGCTTTTGATATTTCTGTGGGTGAAACCTCATATTATTTGTGGGAATTTCTTGAATATAAAGTTGAGATTTTCAAATGGGATTTGTATTTATCTTGAAAACTTAAATTTAGAAAAATAGAACGTACATCTAAAAGGGAATAGCTAATTTAAAAGATTATAAATAAAATAAAATCATTTAAAGTATAAAGAACTACATTTAAAGATTGTTATTTATAAGACTTTATTTACATTAAACATTTACTATAAAAATAAGCTCTCTCAAGTTTTATTATAAAACCCCCATAAACATCTATCAATAACAAAATCGTTTAACAATTAAATAAACATTTAGTTGCCCAATAAATTAACAAGTCCAAAGTGTTTACACTATGGAATACAAATTAACAAATCGCCGCAATGTTAACAATCCGATAAATGGCCAATTAACTTAACTGAATGAGAGAGAGACACAAACTTATTTTCAGCTTAAAGTTTCTATTTTTACTGAAAGCATAGGCATCATCACTCTTCAATGAAAAATAGAAAAATATTAGTTTTTATTCGGAAAAATAGAATTGTAAACATTTGTTCTCAGGCCAATGCCCACGGCTAGTAAAATGTAAGAGCAGTAAATTGGTGCTACAGTTTCAATTATACAAAACAAACGATTCACATGCGAAAGTCGACAGGTGAATGTTTCACCTGAACCATTTTTCATGTCCACCACGTGAACATGGTCAGTTTCCTTGGGGTGTTGATTGCTTTTTTGGCTTCTGAGAATCATTTTCTTGTTAGCCAGATTCATTTGTTTCACATGTTTTGTGCATTTTTGATTTACGTCAACCACTGAAAATGTGAAAGCTGACTTTTCATTCAGGGAAATGGAACTACAAGGTAAAGAATAATAAATTGTTGAATGGATTAAAGGAAGTCTAGAACCTATAGAAGGTTATGTTTTTGGAAAAAGAAGTTTTTGAACTTTTATTTTGACAAAATTTCAATAAAAAGTAATGTTTACCAAAGAAATTTGTTGGTTTAAGAAAAGCATTCTCTAGAAATAAGCTTTTCCACATGTTAAGTCTCGAATTACCTTTATTAAATCAAGCTGAAAGTACTTAAAGTTAACGAAAACTCTCATATATTTCTCATATTTTTCATTGAACTAAAAAATTAGTAAAGAAAATATAAACAAAATATCAAAAAATCCAAATTTCCATCACAGTGTTTTCCCAATAACTACAAATTAATGTATGTAATTCATCTTTCTCTTGTTGTTTTAGATTGCAATGAAGCGAAAATTCCCCCAAAGATGCATTGCAGCTCGTAAATAAACCAAAGGTCGAAACCAAAAACAAAACAACTTCTAGTCGCTTCTTTTGGGAATATATATTGTATTCTCATTAGGGAACGAAACCAAAGGAAACCAAAAACATCAAACTTTTGTGCCATGGCCACGAACCTAATCGAGGAGGAAACGCGCTTCGACTTTTTGCCTGGAGCCGAGGAGGAAGCGGAATTTGGTAAGCTTCTACTTTAATCCCTTTTTTTAGCCTCGGGGGATATGTCCTGTTGACTATCAACTGGATTAATCTGACTTGATGTATCATCAATCAAAATATTGACAAGTTTGTTTACGTTTTGGACAGTTTGACGTTAGTTCTTTTGATCCTGAATCATTCATGAGTTCCTTGTGGATAATGAATTCGGAATGAGTAACACGTGACGCAGTACAACTTTTTAAAGTAATTCTAATGAAAACATAGCCCCTGACTTGGTTCATCAATATTTTATCTAAAGTCAAAAGTAGAATCTTTCTAATATTAAATGTATAAACTTGTGGCTGGCTTTATAAATCCAATTCAATTTCCCTTGACACTCAACACTCAGCAGGAATGCCAATCTGCCCCGCGTCCTGCCGCCAACACAGACTGACAACTGACACTTGAATTAATCTGCAACTGTCAGGTTTAGCGACAATTTTGTTTCGGAAAATTCAACACTGAAACTAATCGTTATGAAGGAAAAATTTAACATAAATCTCTTCTTAAACCCAGGAATATTATTTCACTTAAACTTGCTTAGAATTTATTTGCTCAAAATGTATTTTTGTGTTTTATATCATCTTTATTTTTGTTGCAGAACGTTTGTATGCTGCACCCGCTGAGATTGTGGCCCTGCTGTCCATCTTTTATGGTGGCATCAGCATTGTCGCTGTCATTGGCAATACGCTGGTCATTTGGGTGGTGGCCACCACCAGACAGATGCGTACTGTTACCAATATGTATATCGCCAATTTGGCCTTTGCTGATGTGATCATTGGCCTGTTCTGCATACCATTTCAGGTGAGTGAATTATAGAAAGAGCACTAGTTAACATGGAAAGTTTTGTGGGATACCCAGGGAAATATTATAATTATTGAATTAAAAATTGGAGTCTAGCAAATTTCCATCTTTCTACCTTTATTTAATCACAAATACTTTTATTTTGTTAACTGTAAGTAGGCTCCTTCTCGTCGCCTTTAAATAACTCAATTAAATATTTAGCATAAGCCCAGATGAGCAACTTAATGGATATCGATTTTTGCTTTAAATAAAGTTTAAGAGGAAACCTTTTTGTATATATACTTTGTATATACTTATACCCCATTTCCATCACATAAAGAAAAAATACAAGTTTTTGTAAACTAGTCTCATTAGGCTTATATTCATGTCATTCGTCATTAAACATTGCGCATACGCAGTGTTGAGCGAAATAAATGGATTTTAAATTAAGTGATTTTCAAACGCGACGGCACTGTTGACACTTTGTATGCATAAATCACACAAGCCGCATTGGCATTAGCATTAGTTTTCACTTATTTTGGCCAAAAACATGGATAGATAGTCCCTTTATGGAGACAGAAAAACACGAGGGGACATGGACGCACCAGACACATCAATTTCGTTATAATCCAGCATCAATTTAATTTCCGGACGGCAGAGGAGCGCTCATGTTTGGAATTAGAAAATTGGCACAGCCTCCTCACCCACTGGCAATGGAATATTACCTACTTGAAATATTAATGCGATTTTCGGTTTATGTGTTAATGGGATTAGTATTCCATATAAGCCAGCGAAAATAAAGTGCTAAAAGCTAAATTGAACAGTTTTCGAACCTCCTGGCGGCATCGGCAATTGAAATCACATTAAATTTGTATGTGAAATTATTATTATTATTATTATTATAACTGGGGAAATTATATTTGAATAGACAATGGAGTCATTGGTTTTTATTGATTTTTCAGTGTTATTGCTGGAATAAAGCGAAGGTAAACGGAGAAAATGGAAAATCAATGGGAAATTTGAATAAGATAAAAATCAAATAAAATGTAGACTTGCTTTGTTGGTTGGTTGTGTGTTGTGTAATTTACTTGTAATAATGATAAAATAATAAGCATATTTCAATTCTTGATTTCTATTTTCACAAATTTTACCCTAGAAAGTGTCAGATTTAATCTCTATCTAAAATTAAGTAAAAAATTATTGATGTAAGCATTTAAAACTTTGAACTTGACCCTTGTTGCCGCACTTAATTTATATTAATCCCGCAATCAAACAGAACTTTGGCTCTGTGACAGCAGCCATCATGGTAGTGTCATCAATAAGCTGGCGAGAAAATTGCAATTTGTGGTGTCCTTTGAGAAAGGGAAAGCGCGTGCCTCAAATATCCGCAGCGACCGCACACACGTACGCACACTCACGCCCCCACAATCCTATATATATATACACTCTGTATACATTTGCTGGGGGAAATCACAAACCTAACAACTGAACAGAGATTTCCAACAATTTATTTGACCATGACTTGTTGGGGGACAGGGCCAAGCACAGGACATCCCAAAACAGAAGCAGATTCTTGTTGTTTGCGGTAAAGTGTACATTAATGATGTTTGCCCATGTGACTTGAATGGGTCTACATTTGGAGCTGATTTAATCATCGCACATCGTACCCGCACAAGCCGACCTTTACTCCCTAACCTTTCACACTGAGGGAAAAATGTGCTTGAAATTTAATGGATACAATTTGGGTTTGCAAATAAATGGTCCCTACATTTTGGATTGATTTAAAATATTTTTAGAAGAATGTTACATTTATTAATAGCAGTATAGGAGATCATCAAAATAACATTAAGATAGTTCGTAAAAAAGTATTGCCTACTTTTCAGAGGTTTCATAAAACAAGCATTTATGTTTGAAGTATGCTTTAAATATGTTACTTTAATTAAGAACAATATTTGGCATTATAAAACTATCCCTCAATTAGTGCGTAAAAGTATAGCATACTTTTCAGGCGATACTTAAAAAAAGTACCAATGGTTACGTAGATCTGTGACCATAATACTTTACAGAATCTTTGAAATTTTTGAATTTTTAACGAGTTTTCATTGAAAACCTTAAAATTAGTAGTCAGATTTCCCTAAATTTTCCACTGCGGCTTCAGAAATATTACATTTATAGGTATTATACTCAAAAGCAAGACCCATAACACCAAGTGCTAATATATTATTATTAAATTACCATAAATTTCCCTCTCTTTATATTACATATGACATTTTCTTTGTACAGTTCCAGGCTGCCCTGCTGCAGAGTTGGAATCTGCCATGGTTTATGTGCAGCTTTTGTCCCTTTGTCCAGGCACTCAGTGTCAATGTCTCTGTATTCACATTGACCGCCATTGCCATTGATCGGCATCGGGCCATCATTAATCCACTTAGGTAAGTTCTGAATATGGGGGAACCTTCCAATGGGAGTCATGGTAATCATTAAAAATCCGATTACATATGCAGGGCACGTCCCACCAAGTTCATATCGAAGTTCATAATTGGCGGAATCTGGCTGCTGGCTTTACTCTTTGCCGTGCCCTTTGCCATTGCCTTTCGGGTGGAGGAGTTGACCGAGAGATTTCGTGGTAAGTCTATCCGATTTGCATAGATTGAATGGATGATTTTACATTTTCCCCCCTCATTTACGCAGAGAACAATGAGACCTACAATGTGACGCGACCGTTCTGCATGAACAAGAACCTATCGGATGATCAATTGCAAACGTTTCGATATACATTGGTCTTTGTGCAGTATCTGGTTCCCTTTTGTGTCATCAGTTTTGTCTATATACAGATGGCAGTGCGCCTCTGGGGCACTCGTGCACCGGGCAATGCCCAGGATTCACGGGACATAACTTTGTTGAAAAACAAGAAGAAGGTGAGTTATGGGGGAATGGTAAATGGTCTCTGTTTAATTTCCTCTTTTTCCGCCATTCTGTAGGTCATAAAAATGCTGATTATCGTGGTCATTATCTTTGGCCTATGCTGGCTGCCACTGCAGCTCTATAATATTCTGTATGTGACGATTCCGGAAATCAACGACTACCATTTCATCAGCATCGTCTGGTTCTGCTGCGACTGGCTGGCCATGAGCAATAGCTGCTACAATCCCTTTATTTATGGCATCTACAACGTAAGTGCTGATGATGATGATTGCTCCGATTTGTTTTGTTTTGTTTGCTTTGCCAAGTGTTGGATTTGCATTTGCCCTGTCTGGTCTTTTGATTGGTGGTTGTCCTCTGTTTCAAAGTTGTAAGAGTCCACAGGGACTCGTTTAAGGCAGGGGAGATGCCACTAAAAGGCTTCACAACGAGTTCATAAAAAAGGAAACTAAATTTAGCCAGGGGAATAGTGGCAATTGATGAGGGAAACAGAACCGAAGGACTGTTGATTTTTTCTGGGCCATGTAAATAGACGTGTTGCCATTTATGGCATGGGTCATGGGATTTAGCATAGAAATTTATTGGTACATGGTTGAAATACTTTTATGGTTTCCATCATAAGAGAGAAAAAGAATTTTGTAGAAGCAAGGTTGATTTATATAAAATATTAAATAACAAGAATACATCACAAATCATTTTACTAGCCTTTGAAGTTCCTGAAAACATAATTTCCTTATAATTCACGCAATCAACCTTGAACTTGCAATCATAATAATTGAGTTTCTCTCTCCCAAAAATAAACACCTTTGATTTCCTCATCCTGTTTCTCGCAAACATCACATCAAAACAAAATTTCAATGAAAAGGAAACTGTGATAAAAAGGCTAATAGAGAAAGGCTCACACAATTGAAAGAGCCTGCCCAAGCAAAGGAAAATTCATTTCACTTCCACGAATCGATTTCTTTGTTGGTTTTTTCCCAATTTCACTGATTTATTAGCATCCGCGGCTCTGTTCATCTTTTTTTTACTCTCCAAAAATAAATTTCAGCTTACTTGGCAACAATTTCCCAATTTACTTTTAGTCAAACACCAAAATAGCTGACTGGAAAAGAGAAAAGAAAATACTTTGTCAAAGTTAATTAAAGCAGCGCTCCACTGTAGCCAATAAGCAAATACACCTACTGTCTGAGCCACAGGAATTGGGAGTCCGCAAAATGGAGCGAAATCCCACAAAAATCTATGGCACGGCAAACCGAGAAAATCGAGGAAAAACCCCCAAGGCTGTTTACTTTGACACTTAAATTGTCTGTAAAAGATAGATTGAGAGCGTCGAGATCTGCAAATGCTCGTAAACTTTTCCCTTTTTGGCTGAGATGTGCGTGAAAACTTTTGTCAACAAATATTCTATTTTACTGTCCGGGAAAAAGACAAATGGCATTTGCCAACGAAGGTGGCGTAAATCCTCCAAGCCTCATGTTCATTAGCCTAAGAGGGATTCCTATGCCTTAGCTCCAGGCGATGGGTTTTTTCGCACTTTTCCTTCAGAAATTTCATACAAAATTTTTCCAAAAGAGACTTCTTTTAATTAGCACTAAAAGAGAGGACTAAAAGCTTGATTTTATTGGTACAGGGAGGGAAAATGTTTATGAATAAGGTGTGAATTTAAGGAAAATATTATAATAAATAGCTTATTGGGTTTCATTTGATTTTTTAGATGATTTATTAAGAATTTGTATATATATTTTGGTAGTTTAGAGACCTCTTGGCTTGGGGTCTATGTTTTTTGTTGTATTTCCTAAGAATTCCCTACTTTTACTCTATATATCTTTTAATTTATAACTAGAAATACTTTCAAAACTGTGGTACATATTTATATATCTTCGAATAGAGTATAATATTTTAAAGTTCCATTAAAATAAGTTGGAATATTTTGCTCCCATATGTCTTCAAATGGAATATAATATTTCACTGCGTTTTAGGTAGTTAAGAACACTCTTTCTTTAAAGATATAATCAGGTTCTTTTTGTATTATTATAAATCTTTAATTGCAATTTCAATAACTATATTCCTTAGACCCCAGGATGTCTTAAAATATTGTATAAACACCTCTAATATATTTGAAAATATTATTTAATATATGTTATATATTTTAAAGCCTTCCTGATACTATTGTTTCTTTCTCTCTGTTTACAGGAAAAGTTCAAGAGAGAATTTAATAAACGCTTCGCTGCCTGTTTCTGCAAGTTTCAAACGAGTCTGGATGCCCATGAAAGGACTTTTTCGATGCACACACGTGCCAGCTCGATAAGGTCGACCTATGCCAACTCCTCGATGCGTATACGAAGTAATCTCTTTGGAGCAACCCGTGGAAGCGGACTCAATGGTGGCAAGACGATTCTGCATTTGCCACGGGTAAATGGAAGCACCGGCGGTGGCGGGATTTACAACGGTCAGAACAACAACGGCCATGGTCATCATCATCATCAGAATCACAATCACCACCAGAGTGTGGTTACCTTTGCCGCTCCGGGCTCCTGTGTGGCTGTTGGAGGCGTAGGCCACACGGGCGTTTCGATGCCACCTTGGCGACGCAACAACTTTAAGCCCCTGCACCCGAATGTCATCGAATGTGAGGACGATATGGCTCTAATGGAGCTGCCATCGACGACACCGCCCAGCGAGGAGATGGCCAGTACCACAGGTGTACAGTTGGCTCTGCTCAGCAGGGAGAACTCCAGCTGTATTTGTGAGCAGGAGTTTGGCAGTCAAACGGAGTGCGATGGCACCTGTATACTCAGCGAGGTGTCGCGTGTCCATCTACCAGGAGGAGTGCAGGTCAACAAGGACAAGGAGCGGACCGGGGAGGTGGGCAAGTCCCTGTGGCAACCGCTCTAAGTTAATTTAGAGTAATTTAAGTTCCGTAACCATGTTCCGCGGACACATTCTCGCTGTTGTAAATACGTAAGACACTTGACAACCATTAGGTGTGTATTTTTCCACGGTAAAAACTTGGTGGAAATATTGATTTTCTTGTAAGGACTTAAATGTTTTTGTGGAACACCATTTCCACAGAAACATTCAGAACCATTTAATTTATGAATTCTCATTAAAATGGGGGTGTGTCTCTGGAATATGGTTATTAGCTCTGTGATTTCGTCTTAATGAATTGTGATTACAAATCCCTCTGCAGAATGGTTTGTATTGATTGAGTGTGAATGCTGGTCGTGAGCCATGTACAGTATTATAATTAATTGTGAGTTTCAATTACAATCTTTAAATGTTTTTAATAAAAAACTATAAAACTATTTTCACCATTTAATTTAAACTTTAAAATTTAAAGTTCTTTTAAAGCCAAAATTCACCCAAATCAAACTAAAAGCAAATGAAAAAATGTTTAAATTAAAAATGCAACCTAAAAAAGCACCTGCAATCAATTAAGTATCATTAAGCTAAATTATTTAAATAGTTGTATACAAAGAATGCGATTATGTATTAAACACACACACATATATATACAAATGAAATGTACAATATTTATCATTCAAAAGAGTAAAAAAAAAAACAGAAAGGCTAATTAATGTAATTATTATTGTATTAAATTACCAAAACGAAAAACGAATAAACATTTCGAGTCATTAAGCAAAACCAACGCAATGCATGAGTGTATTTCTCTTAATTACAATGCAGCGCAATAATTATTGTTTATGCGTCGGCCATTAATTGTAGAAAAATTCAAATGGCTACCCACATCCGCTTCAGTTTGTGGGATTTAAATTGCAAAAGTGGCTGGATTTTATTTAATTATATTTTTGATTTCATTTTCAAGGAATTTTCTTATAAAACTGAGAATTTAATACGATATTTTAAGTATTTTGGCTCGAAAGAAACAGAAAACTGAGGGAAACACAATTTTACTTGAACATGTTTTTCTTTTAGCGAGGACTCGAACCGGAAATGTACAATTCAAAGTCCAAGATGGTTGAAAAAGCTTTCAAGCTGCTTGCGGATTAAGCGAAGACATTGAAAAGCTTTAACCCTTAGAAGGTATCGGTTTAGCAGGGAATTTTATGGGGTTGAAATAATCTTGAATTTCTTTTTAAAATAAGCTTTAAGACATTTTAAGCTGATTTTGGTAAAGAAAGTTGAAAGCGTATGTCTTAGATTGAAGTGGTTTAGTATCAGATTATTATTCAGGTTTGATTTGTAGATACAGAACCATTTTACAAGTTTTTACAGACATTTTTAAAGAAGAGCTTTGCAATAAGGAGCTAAACTCTAAGTAAAATCTAAAAAAAAAAGTTAAAATTAGTGGGTGAGAAAAATTCCACTCTTCAAAATGTTATTATAATTAAAGTTCTTATGTTTATATTTTATTTTTGGTTACAAATATCCCTTAACAATGTTGCTTTTAATATATTTTATATTTAATTATTAATAATCATCAAACAACAATTTAAATAATCTCTTATTTTGATTTAATGCTATTTAAATGGAACTTTTCGAGTATTATAATATTTATTGAAAATAGTATGAAGTATTTTTGTGTTCTTTAATATTTAAGTGAATTATTTTAAATATATTATTACTTCATATGCATTTGTATTTTATGTATTTTTGTTTGTGTTTAAATTAAGTTAATACATTGCTATGAAAATATTTCTTATGTTGTTATTAATTTATTTAGTAACCACTTTTCACTGTTTGAACTTTTCTTAAACGTTTAAATTTAAACTCTTGAATTGTCGTTACCATAATCAGCCCTCTAACGATTTTGACCAACCGCCTTTTTCCCTAATGCCCATGCAAACACAACCAGACTGTGTGTATGCGGACACTGACAATTGCCAGGGAATATATGACGGCTGCAACAACAGCCACAACTATGTCACGCAATGAGGTATGCTGCCATATGTGTTTGAATACAGTGAGAGAAAAGGAATTACAAAAAAAATTACTTAAAAAAATCTACATAGTATAATTATATGTATAATATCTACTAGATATTTTAGGACTCTCATGGTTAATAACTTGGCACAAACCTTATGACAAAGAAAGTATCTCAAAAGGTACAAGATTAACATTATCTTCCCTATTCTTTTCATTCTTTACGATAACTAAATTTTAATAATTTAATTAAAATATAATAAAATATATATTTAATTTTAAAGAAATTTTCCTTGATTTCCCCCCCTGTATATCTGTGTATGCAGTGCACTTGCGCCTCATTTTTCGCTTGCAATCAAACAACATATGCCATGCACTCTCACACGCGATGGACAAGGACCAACTGTGACGGTTACAGAAAGACACACACGCACACACAACCAGGATACACACGCACACACACACAATACACATGACAACACGAACCCAGACCCAGTTAGAAGGACACATGGTCACATGGCAGGCCGCATTGGCTGTTGATAATTGAATAATTAACATTGTTTAAAATGGCTCAACGAGTGATGAAGGGAAGGGAAGGGACAAGCGAAAGGAGTGTCGGCCAGTGAAAAGGACGCCAGACATCCGGCGGCCAGGTCATCAGGTCAAATGCAACCACAATGTCAGCCAGAGCCCGCAGCACACATTTAAAACAAAAAAGAGAAAAAACTATAGAATAAAGTCCAGCCCCTGCACTTTATACTATACTACATACACACACAACAGGATATAGGTGATATATAGTATATATAATTGGGTTAGAACTGACGTTGTACGGATATATATATTTCATATTTATATAATTGACATACGGTGGGAAAATCTTTTCGATACATGTCTGTCGTTTATTGATTAAAGTCCCAGTTTTTAAACCACATTGAAATTGAAAACTTGTCAATGTGCTTTTTACCCTTGAAGTGAACAGTTCGATTTTTTTGGATAATACAAAATAAAAGATGCACGACGCAAGGAGTCCCAATAAAAGTGAGTTTAGTTTAACTTTTATACGATTAATAAAATAAATAAATATAATAATAAGATACATCAAATCTACGTCAAAGATATGACAGGTTAAATTAAGTTATGCCTTGGAACTTGTATTATTATCATTAAATGAAACCTTTTCAAGTTAGAAATTTGTATTTTAACTGTATAAAAAACTATATTCTTAAGAAATATCATTAAGACCCATCCATAACTATGACTTGTATGCAAGAAACACAAAATTAAATACAGTTTTTATTATTTAACGAGTATGTAAAGGACTTTTATATATATTTGTATATATATTCAAAATTGTTCATGGATTTTTTGATGTTATATATCAGAGAAGATAGATTGAGAATTTGTTTATAATACTAACACATTTCTTTATGAAGATATTACTCATATATACATTTCCCATACAAATATTTAAGTCAGACAATTTACAAAAACTAATTCCAACTCCAGAATGTTTACTAAGTATAATTTGCATTGATTTTTCTTTTTTTTTAAGAATTTTATACATTACAAATAATTTATCTTTCTTATAATGAACCTTCCTAATTTTCCTTAAAATCTTTTAAATTATCCCATAAATAGCCAACCGAAAAGCCTTTTCATCTACCAGTTCCTCGCGTCGCAGTAGCCATGAAAGTGGCAATGGCCACGAAATGGCGCCAGGGGAAGAGGAGGCAGAGGCAGAGGAGGAACAGGACCAGAACCAGGAGCAGGAGCAGGAGCAACTCTTCCAGGAGGCAACCTCAAGCATGAGAACAAACAGTGTCGATGGAAGTGAATGTGGAAATGTGACTGTAACTGGGAGTGGCAGCATCCCGTCCAATGTCAGTGAAATGCCGGTTACAGATTTCTATAGAGATGCCACCGTACTCATTACAGGCGGCACTGGGTTCGTGGGTAAAGTGTTAACAGAGAAATTGCTCCGGTCGTTTGGATTGCGTAAAATCTACATGCTGATACGCAGCAAGGACAGCATGAGTATACAGGAGCGTTTGCAGGGATTTTTCAATGAATCGGTAAGTGTCGGTGGAGAGGAACAAGAGGGGGTTTTTCCCGGAAGCCTGTCAATTCCCAGCAACAACAATGTGGAATAAAAGCGTTCCCCCTCCCATATCCTTTCATCCAAACAGATATTCAATAGACTGCGCGAGGAGTCACCACAATTGTTGGAGAAGGTGCATCCGATACGCGCTGATTACAGTGCCATCGACCTGGACATTGATTCCGCCGACCGAGCAATGCTCTCGTCTGAGGTCCAGGTGAGTAAGTTCCTCCCTGGCTGACTATATATACATATATACTTCACTACCGATCCTGTTGCACCTGCCCCTCGTCCACGCCCCTCCTTCTCCTCTGCAGGCAATTCAATCAATGGACTTTTTGTGTGAGAAACTTTTCATGGGCTTTTGTTGTGTTTGCCTATCTGGATGGTTCCTCCCGATTCCTGTCTGTCTATATCTATTTACACTTTAAGAAATTCATATATATATATTGTAGGAAAATTATAGAATTTTAAATGGTAAAATCTATAATAATATTTTAGAGAAAGTATATATTGCAATACTTATTAAACTCTCACTCTACGATCTTTATAAATAAGATGAGACTTGCAGATTCCTATATAAATTTCTTGAGTTTTTAGCCTTTGTTTACATATATTTTCTTTCTGTAATAATGCAAAATTTCTTCGAGTGCATCTATGGTTATCTTTGCCTCCCTCTTTCACCTTTCTGGTTTGTGCATTACGTATACGTAAAACGTTGCATGCCAAAGGCAGGCGCAATGTTTACGACAACACCAGCCAGGCAGTCAGTTTATTTCTTTTGCTTTTTTGTATTTTTTATTTTTTTGCTGATCACAAGAGGCCCTCCGATATGTATATACATATATGCATTCTACTTTTCAACAAAAATTGAAAAAAACCCCCATGCCACGTAAAACTGTGAAAATGTGTAGAGCATCCTGCTCCTGTTGCTGGTTGCTGTTACCATTGCTGTTGCTCCTTCTGCTGTTGGTTATAAAACACAATATATAAATAAATGAAAATTCCTGTGCATGCTTCAAGTGCTCGGCATGCGCGAGCCATTGTCCTGCCAACCGGGTTGCATCCTCATTCTCATCCTTATTCTCATTCCAACTCCCACTTCCGCATCCGTTGGGTTCTTTTTATTTATTTTTTGCCCCTCCATGCTGTTTGCAAAAACATTTTGCATACAAGTCACTCGGTCCTGGGTCTGTTTCTGCTTAGAGTTCGCTGGCACTGTTTTAAGCTGAAATTGCTTTGTTGTCGATGTTCAATGCACGCGTTGGCACTGCAGGATTCCAGCTTCAGCTTCA